TCGATATACCGGTGTATTACAGCTGCACAACGCGGCTGTACACCCCATACTTTCATGACGCCTAAGCCAGCGGTCTGCTAACCTCCTACTTCCCCATATTCTTCAGTACTGGCTGGCGTACACTAGATAATACCTACAAATTTGCTCCCGGTTGCTGGCGCTGGCGTACGCTAAAAGCGATCAAGACGCTGTTTTATGCTGACGCAGGGTATGAATGCGCGAGCGTCATCTGCACTTGGCAAAGCGACGGTCCGTGTGACGAAAACAACCTATCCCAATTAACAATCAGAAAAGAATCACCTTTGTAGAAGCAACTTGTCCGTCGTATGATTCCGATTCCCTGAGGAGTTTCACTCGAAACCTATGCGAAAACACATCATATTTACGATATCAGAAAATGAAATCTTGTTCGCTACAGAAGTTGGGGTGTGTCAGGGGAACAGGATTTGGCGCGGCGCCAACTTCTTCTCCACCAATCGGGGAGCTGGCAGACGGTTATTTATTACCCTAGTTGATAGAGTTTCAGAGTAATCCATACTTAAAGGGAAAAGCATAAAATGAATCGATATAACCTTTTGATAGAAATAGCGGTTTGTGTAAGTTCGCACAACAAGTACAAAAAATTTAAACGCACTTCTTTGGAGTCACTGATGCTGACGGTAGCTTATATAAGGAAAACGTATTCTCGACTAACTTTCCCTTGTCGTCATACGTCACCTTTTCAAACGTGAGACTGCTATAGCTCTAAAATGTAGAAGGGTCAAAGAAGTACATATTTATGAAGTAGAGACAAGATTCAAAGGTTGTGCCACGATAGTTACCATCAGAAAGGCGCCTTCGATCAGGGAAATGTCTTCTGCTGGATTTAACCTTCGACCGGCATCTAAGACAACGTCCACGGAAAGAATCTAAATCACCGGATGACTGCTAGAGAATGGAGCGGCAAAAATGTCGAACCTTAGACTCATCACACCTCAAAACTTGTTAACCACTATCTTCTTATGAACTGCTCTACGGTGGCGCGTGTATGATAACTTACAACTCTTGTGAGCGTTTAGGGTGAATACGCCTTAAGCAGCCTTCAGACTGCGCGATGGCACGCGCTACCATTGCAAAGACGGTCCTGTGCTATAGACGGAAGCAAAGCCATGGACGGGTGTTAATCGGCGCCCTTGGGCCGTGGTCTTGAGAGATATAGATATAGAGGACGCAGTTGCCTATCACAACACGTCTGTACCCTCTTTGCTTATCCTATGCTATCTCGAAACGCAAGCTGCCGTCACCGATCGATACCTGTCCACGGCGGCGTCCATCAGGCTATTGGAGCACTGTTTTAATGGTAACGTGCTACCCTGAATTCTGAACGCTGTCTGAGAGAGCAGAGTTAAGAGGCTGCTCGGGAGATGGGCATGTACTGTACTTCCTAGTGGTGATTACCTTGCTGATGGATGGTCTGGATTCATGGAAAAAATGCAGAACTTTAGTCAAGGTGTGGGGATACGTTTCGTCCAACATTATAGCACTACGGAAAAAGTTTCAGTACTTTGCTCGCCCGTACGGCAATCGATCTGTGAAACGATGCATGCCGCGCCAGTAGTATTGTACTGCGATTGCAAAGGGACTCCTTGTCTTCGGCTGTTTCTAAATGTTCAAAACCTTCAGCAGTACAATTTCTGCTTGCCATACAAGATTTAAACATACCCTCCTCCTGTATACTCAGACGCCTGAAGAGGTATTCGCATCTTATAGGCTTTCCAAACGGCTTTACCCCATCCTCCTTCCTCCTTGAGAAGCGGTCGTAGGCCTGCCATTAGCCTCTCACAGCAAGCCTGAATGACATCGTACGAACGTTACCTTTTTGTTTCGCTTTTAGGCTCGTTACGTGATAGCATGGCAGATCTCAAGCCTGAGCCAGTGAGCCTCAAAATGACTCCGCCATTGCTGGGTAGTATGTTATGAGAGGAAAAAGCAATAGGAATCAACATGGCTTCTGCTGGCATCTCAGGAAAACTGCTGAAAACGCTCTGAATAGAGCCCTCATTTCTTTTCGAGCGTCGCGCGCACGGTGAAGAAACACCTTGCACTCGGATGAGAGACCAGGCCACGAAAGGGCGAGAAGGCACAGAGATATAAAGGCACTTCGGTATGGGAAAAGGCAATCGTATTATGCCGCGCCATAACGAGCGACACCGCGCCTGAATGATGAGCTGTCCTGGGGGGGGGATAGGGGCGTTTAAATACGAGTTTATGAGGTGCAGGAAAGTTCGATATCGCCCGCCACGGAGTTTTGTTTTGGCTCGGTTTGAATTCAGTTTCGCTGTTCTAATGGATTGTGTGATGATCAAGACTTTGCCTTGCATTCCCGCACATTAAGCCGACAAACAACGCTTGTCTTGTCCGTTTCACAGGGCACTCACTAGTTGTTTCCGTTCAAGGTGTGCTCCCATAAGTGGGCTGGGCCACGTCCCCACGCGATTTGCATGCCAGCTCTGAGCCATGAAATGGGCATAGTCTGCTTACGGACCAGCTTCTTCTGTCACGTATGTGATCGCTTCATTCAGCTAATTGTAGGACGTATTTCAAAAGTGAAGTTGTGAACAAACCAGAATCGCTCGTCCTTGGATGTCGTCACCCCCATTGTGATCTCCCCCATTGTGATTTCCTCCGTTAGTGTTCCTATCTCTGTTCGCACCGAGTATCGTTATGAGTGAAGTAGGAATCTGAAGCCAACTGAGTTAGTACAGTGTGCGTAAAAGAACTTAAGTCCTTGCTATGTGCGAGGACCCTTCTCAGAGTTGAGTACACGGGGGGGGGGGCAAAAAAAAGACACTTTTCCCCTCGACTTTCAAGGCAAACTTAGTTACATTTCATTACCCTCTGATTGGTGATCTCCGCTATCGAATTCACAGCTTCTGGACGAACGCCATCGAGAGATTCTGCCACGCGACCGTGATTCGGTGCCTGAGTTCAGCAAGTCGTTGATTTCTCCGCCACTGTAGACCACCCTGTTGAGCTCCGCCCGAACCTACCCCCCCCTCCCGGTAATCGAGGGGTTTAGGTCAGTTGACACACTTGGATATTCCGTCTTCTCCAGGTACTCAACACCCTTCAATTCCAAGTCGGCGAGAGTTTTACCAACGCCCTTCGGTTCAACGTGCTGACACCCAATCCTGCAACTTTCCAAGAGGGTACAGACGACGACATGAAGGCAGGATATTCCGAGCTGTTCGATGTTACAGTCAGCATTCACTTTCAGTCAGGGGTCCAAGAAAACAATATAGGTCTCCCCTGGCGACTGCGAGAAGATGATATCCTGGATCTAGCGACGTTTTCGGAACTGCTCGCTGCTGGATGTATTCCAGATCAAAACGTGCCAGTCCCCAGTAGCTATCCATGGGTGACTCGATACCAGAAGTTTCGCAACTGCTTGGAGGTGACGTAATTCCACAGACCTTCTTCAGTTCGGCTGCCATTGCAGATGGCTTCATATTTTGGTGTACATGAAGGTGATGGACGGGAGAATGCTTCTGCTTATCGAGGAACATCTTGGGTATCTTCCGCCTTGGTACTCGCATCCATGTCTTTCCCGGGCTTGGGTATTCTTTACTGATAGTGCCTCGGGTAAAGTGTCTTTTTTTGCCCCTCCCCTTTACAGTTCGAACGGCAGGACCTACCCTGCTTTCACTACCAACGCTACGTGATCACAATTTTGATGGGCTTTTCTTCTTGCAACAATACTTGTTGTAATGATGATAACACAAGCTTATTTCTTTCCCCGACGTTACATACTTGGAGGCAGAGGTGGTGTAGTGACAAGTGGCGCGCTTACCACTCGCGCGGTCCCGGGTCGACTCCCGCCCAGGCCAACCAAGCCTTCTACCCTCCGGGGACGGTAAATTGGTACCAGATTCGTCTGGGAGGATAAAACACTGACTTGTACATCGGCTGGCCACCGCAAGTCATTGTATAGGCCACATCGCATTCAATAACCCACTACGATTCTGAATGGAAGTAGAATGCGTGCCGCATCCCACAAAGGATTGATTAACGGCGAAAACTCTATCCTTTATTACTTTTTTACATACTTACTCGCAGTGCTCGGCTGGCTACTTGTTGACACTTTGAAATAAGTCTTTGCTCTACTTCAATTCCTCCAATCATAACAGCTACACTTCCGTCCTTGAAAATCTGCACTAGCGCTACTGCCTGAAGAGCACATTACAATGGGAACCGTCACAGTAAATGTCTGAGTGAAGTAAACATGAAAAAGTAATGAATGTAGCTGCGTGAGTCACATGTCTTTGGCAGACTTCGTACCTCAGGCCTTGCTCCTGGATGGCCTATGCCCATTCGGGTTGCACTCATTGCTATTCCTCGTTTGACATTTTCCGATGTTCTACAACAAAACATGAAAATATGAAAAAAGAACTCAAGAAATTGAAATAACTAAAAGCCACCGTGCACACTGCTGGATGGGCGGGGCCAAGAAATGACGTCACTGGCGCACTATCTCCCTCTCGTTTTCTACGGCTTTGAAGGACGCACCAATGGCGTGAGTTCCCGGCTCCACCCACTCTGGATTTCCGAAACCGTGTCTTTGAGGACAAAGCTCGCGATCAGATAATGTGGGTAGTGGGGCTCAATAGGTATGCCAATACGTCAAGAAAGTCAGTGGTGGAGAGGAAAACAGAGAGACCGTCAACTCGATAGAACCACTGACTTGTTAAAACGGTCAATTTCTTCACGTAATTCATCGAATTCACTCCAATTCATACACTCCTTCCAGCATTCCAAGAGTGCATCATTGGGGATCGTATCCTTCAACAGCCGTAGTCCTCCGCTTCTGTTGAAGTTCATTTTCATTATCTAAATATCGCACACTAGAGATTGACGTAAACAGTACTATCTTGCGCTACGTTCAGACTCCGAGCTCCAGTACTGCCCAACACCAACAGCTTTTTACCTGTTTTCTTTTTCTGTTCAACCCCTTTTTCATAGTAATTTCAGCTTTTGATTTCACAGTCACGACTTTTCAAACCAAATTCACTGGACTTGCGCCTCGTCACGAAGTCTGAACGCAGCCTTAGGCATCAACCAAACGAACAAAAAGGAGTGTTGGTCCGCTACTGGCTGGCTTATGGCACCAGCCAATCACGCACAGTTCACGCGCGACCAATGCTTACCACAGAATTTTCGCACACTTCAGTCGACTTCACTATTGAACCACGAATTGAACGCCTATTGGCGGTGCGAAAATTGGAACCGCGCGCTTCAGCTCTACTCAGTACACTCAGGAAACAATAAGTTACATGATCAAAGCAATTTTACCTTTTCAAGTGGCTTATTCACAGCGTGAGCGACATGTGTTAGGATACCATTCATAGCGAAGTATGCTTGAGGAATACCACAACCTCTGAAAGTGGTGTGTTTCATCTCTTAATTTCCAGCGATTTCGGATGGTGACTTGTTGACGTGCGATGGTAAGCTGCGGTAAAGCGCCCAAGAGCGCGATATCAAGACCACAACCATGAGTGATTTAGAATCAGCACAGCATTAGTTGTGCCCGTACGACTCCCCCAAAAGGGTGGCTTGATACGCCCCCTCTGATTTCCCCCTCATCGAGCTGTCGAGGGGAACAAAAGCAAATATTAAACGGGAGAACCGCAGGGAAAAGCGCCCCTCTTCTCTACCATTTCTTGGATTTCCCCCAACTTTCTAAAACTTTTTCCGGAATATCTCGAAAATTCTCCAACTACCAAACGAAAATTTTGGTGTCAAGGGAGGAGAGGGAAGGTAAGGGGGGGGGCGGGGGGTATATATTAGGTTGTTCGGAAAGGAATGCGCGTTGACTTTGTCTATTTATTTCTCTTCTACTATAGGAGATTTTTCAAAACAGTTTTGTCCATTAGAGAGAGGTTTTTATTGCGCATCTTTTGATATATTTTTTCTATGTCTACCTTGTTTTTTTAGAGAAAAAAGTTTAGAAAATGCTCGACCAAAAATTTCGAATGCGAGCTTGTATGTGGTAAGACTTCAAGCAAGTCCTAACGACGCACTTGGGTGGACCTAATGACCCACTCGGCTCACAGGGGCAGCGGGCGGACCTAGCGACACACTCGGCGAGAAAACTGGCAAAAAGAGGCTCTTTTGACCTACATTTCCTCTCCGGCGGACCTAACGACACACCCGAGGGGAAAAGTAGTGAAAGAGGCTCTTTTGGCGAAGTTTTTGCGTACAGTTGGCAACAAGTCATTGCTAGTAATGGAGATTATCTTTTAGATTGACCTTGTTTAATTTCGTTTTTATAATAAAAATTTTTTTACACTCAAACGCGCATTCCTTTCCGAACAACCTAATAGAAGAGCGCGCGAAAGGAAACAGGAAAAGCCGCGAAAAGTCGAGCCCTCTCTCAGAAGGTCAGTAGGAGCTAGATACACCTCCCGCACCTCGGCGACAATCTCACATCCAAATCGGAGCGATCAGGATGATTCCCCCTTTACAATAACCAGAAACAAGAAAGAGAAGAATCAGCTATCAGAGATTTTTTTCTCAGCCCAAGTATACGACCCAGCCCCCCCCCCCTGTTGGAGAATCCCCAAAAACAATATGCCCTGTTTAGAATAGAGCGAGCGCTGCGTGCCTCGGGGGGTGAGGGGACGATACGGAACTTCTGGTGATAGTACGTAGCCTATGATTCCCAGATCAGAGGTGCCACTATCGGAGTAAATGCTAAAGTGACACCGCCCTCTAACACTACGCTCACTCGTAATGAGTAACCAATCCATGACCGCTCGTAATGAGTAACCAATCCATCCGGGCCCTTCTCGAATTGCATGCTACCGTTATCTCCCAAAAAGTTGCCAAGTCACTACTCTTCCGAGGAACATTACACCAGAGAGTATCTTTTTTCATCGCGATAAGTTGATCTTGTTAATGTAGTTACCTCATAGTAGTATTGTTCGACTTATTCGTTTTCAATGCGTACCCTTCAGCTCTCATTACTGGAATACAATAACATGTATCAGACAGTGCGGTGGATAAATAAGTAACCTGAAACAGGGAATTATCTTAAATTAATTAAGGAACAGCTCAGCTCTGTAGAGCAGCACTCAGGACCAAGATAGCGAGAATGCTTTTTGCGAAACCAAATTCAGTCAAGAAAATCTGTGATTGCTCAGGGCAAACACTAACACCATCACAAGGATCATGGCATGGCCCTTTACATAACCCTTCATTCATTTACTTCAATATTCCCTTACAGTACTCGAGGACATTCACAAACATTCACCGAGTAAAGGCTAGACGATTGGCCACGTTGCAGAGATTCGCAGCGACTGGCTAGTATTTCCGAGTGTGGTACTTCCCAGACGCGAAAAATTAAGCGCCACAAACGGTGTGACGTACGCAGCATTCGCACCAGGACCCAACCCACTCAACGTGGCAGCTCATCGGCTCCCAAGTCAACTATTACTGTCATGGCGCGACTAGAAAGAACGCTCCAGTAATTCAACAACTGGACACGCACAGTGTAACATTTACGTTGAATCAACCAAATCCTGGTGCAAATGCCGCGCATGTGACACCATCTGCTACACGTTTTTGCCGCAACGTGGATCTATAGACCAACAGATAGTCTCACCAAATGTGATGCATCGATAGCATAGCCTGCGTCAAGATACACTCTGAGATATGCACAACGCAGTATTCCATTTGTGTCTATGCCAACTCTGAATAAGTAGTTCTACTTGAATATCAATCTGACGAACTTGTTATTAGGTTGTCCGGAAAGTTCTCAGCGTTTTGTGCACCTATTTTTTGTACATTCACTGCTGATTAAAAACTCATTCTGCCTTGCTTCTCAGTAGCACATCCTGTAGAGAATTTCTTGCGCTATCTGATGGTATAATTGCCGTTTCACCATTGCTTGATAAACCCCTTTTTTCTTTTTTCAAGCATGTGAAAAGAGCACTTCGGACGATTTTTTTCTTCGACTATAAATTGGGGCAATCCGCAATCGAAACAGCTCAACAAATTAACCAGGTGTGGGGGCCCAATAGTGCTAGAGAAAGCACTGTGCGGCAATGGCTCAACAAATTTTCGTTCTGGAGATTTCAGCCTTGAAGATGAACCTCATAGCGGTCGACCTAAAGCAATATCTGACGAGGATTTTGGAGGCTGACCCATCCCAAACAGTTCGAGAGATAGCAGAAGAGCTAGGCGTTGGCAAATCCACTGTTGCAGATGGTCTGGAACGCATTGGGAAGGTGAAAAACTCGACAATTGGGTGCCCCACAATCGGAGTGACCGGCAGGAATCGGCACGTCTCGAGGTTCCTTCTGCATTGCTTTTGCGCAGCAGAAACGACCTGTTTTTGGGCCGAATTGTCACCTGTGATGAAAAATGGGTCATGTATGATAACAGGAGACGTTCCGGACAGTGGTTGGATTTCGACGAACCACCGAGGTAATTTTCAAAGCCGAACCCTCACGAAAAAAAGATTCTGGTCACGGCTTGGTGGTCATCGGCTGGTGTGATCCACTATAACTTTTTATCACCAGGCCAAACCATCACAGCAGAACCCTACTGTGAAGAAATCGACGAATTGTACCGAAAATTTTGTCAGATGCAGCCAACACTTATCAAAAGAAAGGGTCCGATTCCTTTGCATGACAACGCCCGCCCACACGTTTCACAAATCACTATCCATAAATTGAACGAATTGGGGGTTGAAGTTCTACCTCAACCGCCATATTCTTCAGACCTTTCGCCAACCGACTATCACCTTTTCTAACATTTTCAGAACTCCCTTGCTGGAAAATACTTCATCAATCAGGACCAGGCAAAAAAGCCTTCGTGGATTTCGTGAATTTTCGACCACCCAGTTTTTTTTGATGGGATTTCTCGACTGCTGTCACATTGGCAAAAGTGTGCTGATTCGAATGGTGCCTATTCGATTAAATCCGATGAGTATTAAAAAAGTTACGATCGTTTAAAGTGAAACACCCAAAACGCTGAGAACTTTCCGGACAACCTAATATTAGTGATTACAAATGGCTTTGACCTACCAAAGTGTTATAGTTTTAATTGCGCCTCAAACTCACTTATACTTCACCAGAGCCGGATGACGTTTTCCGGTGATGACCATGTCTTCGAATCGTTTGAGCACGACCGTAACTGGCCGGTTCAGTGCACGAGCTGCAACTGCAGCCCAAGCTCCCATTGGGGCGCTTTGGGTATACTTACCACCAAAAGCACCTCCATCGTAGTGTGCCTGAAACACACAAAATCACTACACAGCCTGTATCTCGGAGATGGAGAGGGAGTGACTGCGCACTACACATCAAAATGGCATGGTCCAGTGACATCTAGAACTCTACACCACGTTTATTGTCTATGACACATGGGACCATTGGGTAATTTGCCGTGCAGGATCCCCATGAAACTAATAACTACGAGGGGTGTTAAATGTGTCCTCGGTCTCGGTATGAAGGAAACGGCAGAAAATTCCAAATAGTAGTCCCCCATGACCTCAATACACTTGTTTCCACGAAAAAAAATAGTTTTCGATACCCCCTAAAAACATTTTTTTATTCCTCTTCCGCCAAAATGCGCGTTAATATGACCGATATTCGGTTCTTCATCGCCAACGCTTTTGACGAGGATCTTTTTAGGGGTATGTGACGAGAGAATCGTAGTTCACCGTGATGGCGGGCGTCGCATCGACAGGTTAACCCGAGTTAAGAAACCGCCGCGCCCATTGCCGCGCGCAGCGAAGCGGCAAATTACGTTTCTCTTGCCCGTCTCCCCTTTTTTAGGTTGGGGAACAAGAAGTAAATCGCTAATCATATTCTCAATGTCCTTTTCACTTTTCTACAATTTTCTTTTCCATTTTTCTGAATTGTTTACGGAAACAGTAATATTTCCTTCAACATTGTCGCACATTCATTCCGGATCTAATTTTCACTAAGAATAGCATTGATGATAACTAAATGAACTTTTGTATTTTTGCCCTCAGGGAGTGTCTATTGAAATGATTTGAATTCTTTCGTCACTGCTAAATTACCCCGATACCGAGAATACTTTGAACGGCCATCGTATCGGTTGAAAGCGCGGCATTGCAAGGGAAGTGGCAGCATTGAGTTCAGGTTTACCGCTCATCAAGAGTTAACGGCTCCCCAAAATCCTGGTTGTACAAGCTGTTTCAAACCTAGCATTCAGTTTCTTGAATAAGATGAGTGACAAAGCTACTTTACATAAAACTTTAGAAACTCGAAGTCGTTCACCTTCACAGTCACTTTATGTGCCGGTACACCGAGAACTGCCGAAATAAATAGCTGATGTAAAGTTGGCGATTCTGTTGAAGCATGAACAACCCTGAGTTAAGTCTGAGTTCGAAAAAATGGGAACCGACACATACGAGATAGGAAATGTGTGAAGATTAGCAGTAGTGATTACCATTCATCATTTCTTTCTGGTACAACAATACTACCTTGTGGTTCCATGTAACAGTGGTCCTGGCAGCCACTTTTTGTGGAACCTGAAATAGTCAGTGTAAATAAATGTTTTTTATACCCCTTTCCTTCTTTTTATCCATTAATCCAGTGGAGAAGTTCGAGTTGCCCTTTCTTTTCACCACTGGAATCAGGGGCTATACTTGGAAGCGCCGA